AGATCAGCTCTCTCATGCACTGCTGGTGGGACTGTAAAATGGTACAACCATTCTGGCAGGCAGTTTAGCGTTTCTAAAAGAACCCCTAAACATAGAAATCCCATGTGGCCCAGCTACTGTACTGCTGGGAATATATCCCAAGGAAAAGAGAATGGAGACACAAACAGGTATTTGTACACTTATGTTCTTAACAGCCTTATTCACAATAGCAAGAAAATGGAAATAGTCCAAAATGTCCATCAACAAAAATACTGAGAAATTATAGTACATTCACATAATAGAATACCATGAAACACTAAAGAGCAATGATTTTGTAAAATACTCTAAAACATGGGAGAATCTAGAGCATTATTATGCTGAGTGAACTCAGTGTCATAAGGACAAATACTGCGTAAGACCATCATTGTAAAAACAGAAGGAAAACTAGTAAGAGGCGGATCAAAGTCCAAAAAGGGAAGGGGAGAGAGGTGGCAGGGAGAGCTGAGGAGGGAAGGAAATAATTCAGATTACAGACTTTAGTGAGCTGAGGGGAGGTTGAAGGAATTAGGAAAGATCCAATGGAGACGTGAAAAGATGGGGTAACAGTAATCTTAGATCAAGGGTGATTACTTTTATAAAACACAATGTACATGAGTGATTGGTTGAAAGTGTGTGAAATTCACTATACATTATATACAATGTATACAAATTTTATATGCAAATTGATATAAAAGAAAAATAAGGTGGAAGGGGGAAAAAGATGCTACTGGCAAAATCTTGAATGATACAGGAAGTGTTAAAAGATGGAAGGAGAGGTCCACCATGATATACTGGAGGGGAGAGCAGGAGGAGAAGCTTTGCCTCGGGAGCAGGGCAGGTTGGGTAATGGAGCAGAGGCATATGTTTTTTGATGCACCAGAGATGGACCATCTACTGGCTACAGCTACTCCAAACCAAACAGATGCAGCAGCCAAGTTCAGCTAAAAAAGAAAGTATGAAATTCAAATCCACCAGCTGCTCTGGGGAGGAACTTGGAAAATATCCTCCCATGTGATTTCCTGCCTCTGAAAACCCCCTGTGAGTTGGTTCTGACTCCACAGTACTCAGCAACAACATTACCTACTTTTGGAGAAAGATATGATTATAGCCTTGGAAGCCCCATGGAACAATACTACTGCAACATTCTTTTTTAGTTTTGGAGTGGTTCTTTGAGAAATGGCAACTATCACAAGAAATCAGACTGTCCAAAGCCACCAAGAGAACTGATGAGATGGTACCAGCCTCAACACGGATGGTGCTATGCTAAAGCACCTATTAACAATCATCTATTTAAAGATAAAAAAATATTGTTCAGTAAAAAAAAATGATGGAAGGAGAGACGAGAGGGAGAAGAGAAGATGGAAGGAATATAAGGACTCTGTGCCAAAAAGAACTGGCTGACACAGAACCATTTCAGCAAGTAGCATATGATCAAGAACCAATGGTAATAAAGGAGGCAGTTCAAGCGCCACTGAAGGAACTGAAGGAGCTGGGGGGGAAAATAAAGTCCCAGGGATTAATGTAATTCCAATTGTCATTTTTCAAAAAAACAGATGCATCCCTGGATGTGTTCACCAGGTTGTGCCAAGAAATCTGGCTGAAGGACAGCTACCTGGCTGACTGGTGGTTTTTGTTAGGTGCTGTTGAATTGAGACCCATAATGACCTTATGAATAACAGATCTAAACTCTCTCCTGTCCTGGGCCATTGTGTCAGTCCAACTGGTTTAGGGACTTTCCCAGAATCATGTCCTTCTCCAAGAAATAGCCTCTCCTAGCAGCATGCCAAAGGATGTGAGGCAAAGCTTTATCTTTGCCTCCAAGGAGCGCTCTGGCTGTACTTTCTCTAAAACATATTTGTTCTTTTGGCAGTCTATGGGATATTCAGTATTCTCCAACACCACAGCCAAAAGCATGAATTATTCTTCTGTCAATCTTACTTACCATCCAGCTCTCAGACAGATAGCAAGTGATCAGAAAGATTATGGCCTGAATCAGACAAACCTTAGTCCTCAAACTAATATCATTACTCTTCAATAATTTGGAGAGGTCCCTGACTGTAGACTTTCTCACTGCAATGTCTCCTGACTTCTTGACTGCTGGTACCAAGGGTGTTGATTTTGGATTCTAGTAACGATGAAGATGTTAACAGTTTCAATCTTTTCTCCATCTATCATGATGTTACCCATAGGTCCAATAGTAAGAACTTTTGTTTTCTTGATATTGAGATGCAATCCATATTGAAAGCTGTATTCCTTGATCTTCTCAAAAAAAGTGCTTCAAATCTCAAAAAAAGTGCTTCAAATCCTCCTCACTTTCAACAAGCAAGGTTGTGTCATATGCATAACTCAAGTTATTGATGAGTCTTCCTTCAATCTCGGTGTAACATTCATCTTCATAGAGTCCAGCTTCTTTGGACTGACTAGAAGAGATCCATATTTATTCTCATTCCCAAAAAAAGTTGATGCAAGAGAATGTGGGTATTATTAAGTAATATCACTTGTATCACACACAAACAAAATCTTGCTGAAGATTATAAAAAATGATGAGAATAGTACATTGAGGTAACGGCACCAATTATATCACTGCTGAAGTAAGATAGAATATCAGAAGGTCTATTGGTACTTTATTGCACATTTAAGGCATTTGGCTATGTACCACAACAAACTGTGGGTAACACTGAAAAGTATGGGAATCTCAGGAACATTTAATTTAGCTCATGTGAAACCCAGACTGATAAGCTGTTGTCCAAACAGAGCAAGGGAACCCTGCATGGTTCAAAATCAAGAAAGGAGTATGTCTGGGATGTACTCTTTCTCCAAACTTTTTCAGTCTATATACTGAGTAGATCATTTGAGGTTGGACTTTATAAAGAAGAACATAGCATTAGGATTGGAGGAAACTTATCAATAATCTTGCTTACCAAAACTGAGGACTTGAAGTGTTTGCTGCAGAAGATCAAGAACTGTAGCTTTCAATATGGATTGCATCTCAACATCAAGAAAGCAAAGTTCATTGTCACTGGGTCAACAGAAAGCATCACTGATAGATGGAGAAAAGACTGGGGTTGCTAATGATTTCATCTTGCTTGGATCCATCATCAACACCCTCACCACCAGCAGCCAGGAAGTCAAAAGATGAGATACACTGGGAAAATGTGCTGTCAAAGCCCTCTCCAGAGTGTTAAAGAGCAATAATGTCAGTCTAGAGACCAAGGTGTGTCTGATCCAGGGCATGCTCTTCACAATTGCTTGATATGCATCTGAGACCTCGACAATGAATAAGGATGGCAAAGGAAGAATCAATGTCTTTGAGTTGTGGTGCTGGAGAAGGTTATTCAACACATGATGGACTATGCAGCTCTGTCGGAAAGGGTGAAACCAGGTTGCCTCTTGGAGGCAAGGATTTTGAAATTCTGTCTCACATACTTTGGCTATGTTGTCAAGAGAGGCCAGTCCTTGGAGAAGGATATTATACTTGGAAGAGTGGAGTCCGTGCAGGAGAGGAAGACTCTGGAAAGAGGGATTAAGACAGTGACTGTGGCAATAGGTTCAGTTGTGTCAGAGACAGTGAAGCTGGCTCAAGATAGGGCATGTTTCAGAGCCACTGTTCATAGGGTCACTGAGTCATAGTTGACTCTGGCATATAACCATGACCACCACACCACCACAACAGGCACTTCTGACTTGCAAATAATAGACACACAATTTAAACAGTGAATAAAACTTCAAATTTTCACAAGACTCCTAAATACGCATTGATAATAAGATGTTAGTAAAAAAAAATCAGTGAATGTACTTTTATATTGACATCAGAAAAGCATCTTCTATAAACATTATGACTGTAAGTATAGCTTCATTCACAAAAACAAGAATAATAAAAATTCAGAGAAAGATTTGCTGTGCTATCAGGAACATATCTAGCTGTAGTTATATATCGAATAAATATACAAATTTTTTATCCAGTTACATAATTAAAGCTTTTATGCTCAAACATGCCATTTGTTTCCTACATAACAATGAAGCCAAATAACGACAATAAAAATTTTAGAATCCTTCATTTGGCATCTTAGAACTCTGCATAATTAGCTGATAATATGCTTAATTCTCATTTATCAAACAAGAAATGTAAAAACAAAAAAAAATGTGAAAAGGTTTAATGTCCTTGGTTTTCTTTCTTCTAAATAATCAAGTTTAATTAGAGAACTAAGCTTTTCCAGACAAAGTCTGATTTCTGAAAAAACTGACTGAAGGTAAAAATCTATGGTGAAACATGGCTGAAGTGCTCGAGTCACTCACTCACTCATTGCCATCACGCTGGAATTAACTCATAGCTGACCCTCCACTGAGGTTCCGAGGCTACCAATTCCTTGGGAAGAAATTACCTGTCTTTTCACAGTAGAGCCACTGGTAGGTTTGAACCATCCGAGGTGCTGCTTTTAGATTAGCAAGCCAACTCCCTGCAGACTATTTCACCAGTACTCGCTAATTATTTATGTGTGCATTAAAACAAATGGAGACAACAAAAATACTACAAAATTATGTGAAATCTATACTGTTTTCAAAAAAGGCTACCTTTCAGATTAATTTTTATTACATTTGCTAAGGAAGACCTGTTGGAGAAAAATACTTTACATGAATCATTTTATCAAAAGTTGAAAATAGTAAAATTTATAATTCTGAACATAAAAAATAGATTTTTTAAAAAATCTAATGAGGAAATAAAATTCTTAACATAAGACAGATTTTTTAAAATCTTACTGAAATGAAATAAAACAGTAAGAATATAGAAAAGTTTTAAAAACTAATCATCCAATGTATACATTATTACTTACAACAATTTAATACATAAGCAAGAAGACTATATTTACAGCTACTGTTACATAATACCAGGAACATGTGTTTATTTTTAGGTGATTATTTAACGTTCTATCTGTTTTATGAGTTTTTCCACAATCCAACTTATCTGTACTATTTTTAAGTCATCAATGTTTATCAATCTTATGTTTTTTAAGATGTATGATTCTATTAAATTCTGTGTCTGTGCAACCTTCTATTTTTGCTTCACTGACTCAATCCATTTCCTTTACAGTTCTGTATTCAGAAAGGTCTTCAACTAAAATGTAATTTGAATCATCAGCCAATCTATTGTCTGTATTAGTTACAACTAGTTCATTTTTCTCTTCATTTGTATCTACAGGATCATAAAGTTCAGGTGTATAGTAGATAGATTCATCTTCTGCTTCTGTTACACAATCACCACTTGAAGTAGAAAGTTTAGCATCTTTACTTTCTGGAGACATTTCAATGTCTGCATCCAGGGTTTCCTCACTGGGATGATTTATTTTGGTAAGAGCAGCATCAATCTCTGTTGGTAAAATAATCATTTCTGATTGAGGCCATGGCCCAAATGATGTGTCTACTGTTAGAGATGAGGGCTCACATTTATCCATGAACGGCAAAACAGTTTCCTTTTCCATCTTCTCTATTTTGGTAGTAGAAGTACTAGAGGCACAGTTCTCCGATGGTCTGAGCTCAGGCGCTGCTGCAAATGGAGTTTTACCAGTAAAGCACCGTCCAAAAGAATAAAAACTAGACCAACTAACTTTCTTTGCCTGCTTGCTGAAGGTTGGGCTTGTGGATCTGGAAATCACCTTTTTCTCTCCTTTCACTGCCTGTTCAGAGTCTTCTGGTAACACAGGATCACCTATGAGTATGAAAATGAAAAAAAAACTGTTAATCTTAACCTTAGATAAAACAATAGCCATTATATTAATACAAACATTAGAAAATAATGTAAACACTAGAAATATTTATTCTGTAGGGTACTAAATATGCAGCCTCCAATCCGAAATAAGACTTCTATCTTAGAATTTAAAGCACAGAATATTAACTCTAAAAGGAATCTTAGTACTTCAGTGTCCCCTAGACCAATTTACTATATCTACTAAAATACATTTCATAAACAAGAGAACTGACAACCAGAAAGGCTACTGTTTGCTTAAAGTTATAAAACTGGTTAGGAGTCAGGTAAGGACTGCATCATAGGTTTTCTGACAATCAGCATAATGATTTTCAGTTTACTGTTACTGCTGTATACCTTTAAGTTGGAACCAACATATAGTTGACCCTCCAGTGAATTTTTGAAGGCTGAAAGTCACATGGGTGGATACTGTCAATCTTTGTCTCATGGAGCAGCTAGTGGAGCTGAATTGTGTGCCTTCTGTCAATAATGTAATTCCTTACCACTTGACCAGCAGAGCTCCCTTTTAATTCCCTATAATATTTATTTAGGATAGTAGCATATGATATAAAAGAATTATTTAAAAATTAATATAGGAAGTTCCACGATACATTCATTTAAAAAAATCAAAAATCTATTCTATGGAATAGACCAGCTTTCCACAGTGGAAGCAATTCTGACCTCCTTTATTACCTTTGGGTGGCACTGTTTATGAGTAAGACTTCCTTTTCCTGACACAGGCCCTAAACTGGAGCAATAGCTGCCCCAATAATTTGGCCATTCTCTAGTCTTTTCTCTTCCCTCTAGATCCCAGTTGTTAAAAGAGGGGGAAAATGTAAACAAATATATAACAAATAATTTTGAACAATATAATACTTTAAGTTTAAGGCTAGAAATATTAACAATATGATCATTTCCAATCCAGAGATACATGTTCCAATGCAGTTCCTATTTTCCATAAATGGTTTTGGTAAGAATATTGTAAATGTGGCTACAGTTCCACTATTCCTCCTCCATGCCATAATATAGTGTTATTAGCATGAGCCGTTATAAATCCATTGCCTTCATTACTCTAACTTAAATTTATTATTAATTTCAGTAAAAATTTACAGAGGGTTTGGATTTCCATTCATTCATTGTTGCACATTTCTCCCTTCCCAAGCCTTCCCCCTGCCAGAACACTACCCTCTTAAAAAGTAAAAGAGAAATTCTTTCATTGTTTTATAAACCCTCCCCGAAGTCCACTCCACCATGTAGCCATCGCCCTAGACTCCTGTCATGACAGAAATACCTAATCACATATCCCTTTTAAACAGTTTTCTCCCTCATCTGTTTCAGTGCAGTATACATTACTGAACCCATCTTTCTCAGTCTCTCCCCAACCCCAAGGTCAGTCCTCTTTTACAACAGTGGCACCATGCAATATTTGTCCTTTTGTAAATGGGATACTTCACTCAGCATAATGTTCTCCAGAGTCAACCATTTTTAATAATATTGCATTAGTTCCTTGTTTTTCAATGCAGCATAGTATTCTATTGTGTGAATATACCACAGCCTCTCTATCCATTCGTTTGTTGATGGGCACCTGGGTTGTTTCCAACTTCTTGCTATTGCGAACAGAGCCGCAATAAACATGGGTGTGCATATATCTACGTGGATGTCAGTTATGGTCTCTTTGGGATATATTCCCAGTAGTGGAATTGCTGGGTCAAATGGTATCTCTATTTGCAACTTTTTGAGAAAGCGCCATACTGCCTTCCACAGGGGTTGCACCATTTTACACTCCCACCAAAAGTGAATAAGGGTTCCAGTTTCTCCACAACCTCGCCAGCATTTGTTGTTTGCTGTTCTGTTAAATTTTGCTACTTTGACTGGGGTGAAATGATATCTCATAGTTGTTTTAATTTGCATCTCTCTTAGAGCTAGGGATTTTGAACATTTCTTCATGTGCCTGTTAGCCATCTGAATGTCATCTTCGGTGAAGTGCCTGTTCATATCCTGTGCCCATTTTTCTATTGGATTATTTACCTTTATCTTGTTGTGGTGGCTCTTGTTGTTGTTGTGTGCTATCGAGTCGCTTGTGACTCAGCGACCCTATGTACAAGAGCCCTAAACCCTGCTATATCCTGTGCCATCCTCACTGTCTGCAACACACCTACTCCCATTACCCCAATCACTGAATCAATCCATCTCATTGAGGGTCTTCCTCTCTTGCACTGTTCCTCCACCCTCCCAAACAAGATGTTCCTCTCAAAGGACTGGTCCTTCCTTACAACATGTCCAAAATATGTCAGACAAAGCTTCAAAATCCTTGCCTCCAAGGAACCTGTTTGTTCTCCTAGCAGTCCATGGTATATTCAGCACTCTTCTCCAGCAGCACAGCTCAAAGGCATCAATTTTCTAAATCCCTAGTCTCAGATCAGGCGTACCTTAGTCTCCAGCCTGACTTCATTGCTCTTCAGTACTCTGGAGAGGTCCCTGACAACTGACATTGCCAATTCAATCCGTTTCTTGATTTCCTGGCTGCTAGTACCAAGAGTGTTGATTGTGGAACCAAGCAAACTAAAACTGCTAACAATCTCAATCTCTTCACCATCCATAATCTAATAGCTCTAATGTACTTTTATTTATCTAAGAAGGGCACTATGCTCGGAAGAATGGAGAGTCAGAGCAGGAGAGGAAGACCCAGGATGAGATGGACTGATACAGGACCTTGGGCAGAGGAGGCTGGTGTGTTGGAGTTAGTGAGATTGGCTCAGGATAGGGAAGGGTTCAGAGGTGCCGTACATATAGAGTTGCTATACGTCACAGACGATTCAAGGACACATAACAACAAAAACACACTATACTGGTTGTTTTTTTATTTAAGTCTCTTGTTTAGAGTCAACAAGACCTTGGGGAGGGCCTTCGTATGTAAATGTTGGTTGTTATTATATTTTGGAGGAACATTCTTCTAAGTGGTACAGTATTCTGTCAATATGCTGTACTGAAGTAATCTGGGGTTGCTGTGATGCTGAACTTTGTGCCACTGGGGTGTCAAATACCATAACAGTTACCTATGGTGGACAGTGTTTGGAAGAGCTCCCAGTTTAAGATAGGTTTGGAAGCAGGAGTGACAGTCACTTCTAGAAACCATGAACTTTTATAAATAACAATAGTTATAGAAAGGCTTCTAGCCTTTTGTTCATAGGGTCACTATGAGTCATGCTCGCCTCAACAGCAATCAACAACAATAGTTCTAATGTTTTTTCATTATTTTAGTATAAGATCTTATATTACAAGATAAAATATTTAAGATAATCAAACAACACTACCATTTCACTAAAAAAAAAGAAAAAACCAGAAAATTTTTCATACTTTTCTCCTTTCTGGAGATGACGGTGCTTGGTAGAGATGGATTTTTCATTATCATTTTGGGGCACTGAAGTTCTTGGACACAGATTCTTGTATCATCTTCCTTTGGATTTACTGGTGACTGATGACTTTCTATTTCCAATAAAGAAGTTGGGGTGTTGTCTTTCAAAGAAGCCACTTCAAGTATACCTTCTTTGTCCTGTACAGACCTCCTGGCCTCTAAGACATCAATGATCTTTAAGTGCCTTTTGGAAAATTCAGTCAGAGACTTCAGTGCACTTTCAAATGTTGAATGGTGTTGGATCTGCTGCCGTACCCATTTAGAAAGTCCTTAGGAAAAAAGTAAAATCAGGGAGGTAACTGGGTTACTTAATTATTATTAAAACAGTCATTGTTAAAGATATTAGGTGTTACTATAAAACTCAGATACATTTTTTTCACATTGACAAACTATACTCAATATTTTGTCTTTTTTTTTTTAAAAAAATCCTTTATATGTACAATATACTTACTCATCAGTAACATTTTTCTTTGTACCCATTAACTGATAATTAGGGTGCTGTGGTGGCTTTGGGGTAAGGAGTTGTGCTGCCAATCCAAAGATGCAGTTTGAATCCACCAGCCACTTCACTAGAGGAAGACAGGTAATCTCCTGTGCAACTGACTGATTATGAAAACCCATTAGTGGGTCAGCTATGAGCCAGTTCCAGCTCAACGGTGCACAAGAACAAAAAAAATAACAACTGGAAGGAGTGCAGGTAAGGTTCAGTGGGAGTAGACGAGAGGGAACACATTGTTCTATTCCAGAGTAACTGAAGATGAGGGCAAATTTCATTTTATCATTATTTCCCATAAGAATTGTCTCTTTTGTGAGGAAACCAGAAACAGTAAACAACAACAATAAAAGGTAAACTATCTTCCATTCCAATGTTACAAAAATAAGTTTCAAAACTAAGATCCTAATCTCAGAACTTTTTAGTGTTTTTTCCCCCTTCAAATTTCAAAATATATCTTAATATGTCTTGTAGATTCAAAGCAAAACAGTTTTATGGGTAAAATAATAGTCTACTCGGAACTTTTGTCATACATATTTAAAAAAATAAAAATGATAACATTGTAAGGAACATAATTTGACTTCTAACATAAGAAAACAGATGAAAACTGTTCATAAAAGTGAACTACAATAAAAGTATAGAATTTATTATAGCATAGCTCACTTCAAGACTGAAATCCAGAATCACATATTTGGTTTTTTATAAATAAATATTTCCTGCGAATGATACTAAAACAATCACCGTCTACTAGCATAGTGTTCAAACTTACTATAGTAAATTCAGAGAAAGATATTTCAAAGTTTCAAGTAATTTTATCTACTATAATTTTAAATACATCCCTTAAGGTGGACTTTATTTTCGGTCAATCAATATTTCTTCAAATTAAAGCTAAAAAAATTATTAAAAGGATTAGCAACATATAATCTCAGTTTGAGCTTTACAAAAAGAAAGTAAAAGGCAATTATTATGGAAAATATTTATTTCAATAAGCCTCTCGGCAAATTTAAATCGTGAAGCAAAACCTGAAATCTTAAGACTTTTAAATAAAAGAAACAATTTTAAAGAAGTATTTTCTTTAAAGTTCTTTATTTTTGCTTGTTTGAGGAAGTAATGAAACAAAATAAAAATATGAAAGTCTAAAATTTAAAAAAATAGCATTCTATTCACTCTTTTATTTCTACCTTTTTATAATCAGAGAAAGTCTTTTAAGTACAAAATGCATTGTTTGCTTTAGAAAACTTGAAAGTATCTGAGCTCCACCTACTGATTAAATATGAGCATTTAACATTTTTGCCTTTAAGTTAGGTCTTGACCTAAGCTCAAATCCTTGCTTTATATGGAAAGGGGATTAGAGTGTGACAAATGAAGTAGTATTTTCTGGTTTAATCCAGAATGAGATACATTTTTAATTTTAAATGTTGTTGTTATGTGCCGTCGAGTCGCCTGCGACTCATAGCGACCCTATGTACAACAGCCCTAAACTTCGTTCTGTCCTGTGCCAATCGCACTGTCTCTGACACTCCCATCCCAATTATCCCAGTCACTGAATCAATCCACCTCATAGAGGGCCTTCCTCTCC